CTCAAGAGAGGTGGGATTTTGGAACAAAATAAACAATGTTGATTAACTGCTCTTCGATCCAACAGATCCTCATAAACACAATTATAATATACTGCAGACACTGCTGCTCAGACAATTAAGTTCCTGCCGTCAGTGCATGCAAGAAGCCCCAGCTGACGGCAACAAGATTGATACCGACTGTGAGTGTGACTTCAATCCCTAATCGGGATTCAGTTGGCAACAGAGGGCTCACTCCTGGCAGACTTACATGGAGCGGTGACGTGGCAAACAACCAGCTTTGCATGCATGGGTTGAGGGATCCTCAAATGTGATTACAGTACGCTTCCTGAGACACCTCAACTAGCCAGTAGGCCTGATCGTAATTGAATTCCTCTTGATTGAGGTGTTTTAAAAAAAGACATACACACACAAGTGTGGGTGTGAATTTGTGCACATTACGACGAAAACATGACACAGTTTACATAAAACACTTTTTGATAATTTCTTAGTTTTTATCTCCGTTCGAATCTTCTCCTTGGGAGAGGCAGGTTCTGTTTGCTTTTCAAGATGACTGTCCACCCTAATGTTTCAGTCAATCACATGTTTACACGTCTCTCAAGCCAACTTTTTCATGGAAGCTTAGAACTTTGAAAAATACCGTACGCGTACCTTAATTTTGCAGCTAGCAAGTTAAACTCTACTGTCAGAAGGTTCTAAATATCGATATCCACAGACATCTGACTAAGTCATTAATAATGCTTGTCTGTAACCCAATCAAAGGTCAAGTGAAACAAGCTCCCTGGGATGGTTCAAGAGCTTTGGAACCAGTCAGCTTTCTCTCCTTCTGTAAAGCAGGTCCTTGCTCATGATTAGGTTGAACTGTTTTGACTTACTTCTACTGTGGCTTTCCACAAACATTACTGTTTCAAGTTTGGAAAGGGCACATGACAGGTTTAAGCGCAATGCCATTTCAGAAACAGGCGTATCTCAGGGGATTTAGTCCCAACTTTTTAAAAAAGTCATTCATTCATGAAATCTTCAGCTATTTCATTTTTCTCTAAACTTACATATGAACTTTTTACACTGCTATTCCATACAGCCAGCAGTCAAGGACATACGTCTGCCAAAGATATCACTGGTTTGGCAGGGACGTTTAGTTAACAGTTTCCCATGAGGAACAAGGCTTCCCAAGGGGAAGCGGGCTAATGATGACAAATAAAAATGGCACAGTTATGAATTCATAACTGTATTGAACAACAAAGCCTTCCAGCTGGGGGACTAGCGCGAATTGTGACCATGCAAGCTGCACTGGTGTGACCCTGTCTGACCTGGGAACATGGAACTATGAACAACTTCCTCACAGTAAAAACGAAAGTCAGGAAATAAATTCACGTCAGGTTAAGTTTGATGAACTGCCCTGGATATATTTTGCACTGTGTTGACATTGTTATTGTTGCAATTATAGGGCCAACTTTGTCTAAGCAATTTCCAAATGACTGATTCCCTTTCAGAGGAAAAATGAGAAAGAACTTTAAACTTGGTTTACCAACTCTCCACGTCAAAACATCACGATGAGAGAGCACAAAGAAATCAAAACAGAAAGATACATGGGGTATTCTTTACCCTTGTTTGCTTCAACACAAACATGCATGAAATTTCTGGCTGGCCGATCTAGATCAATAGAGGGCGCTGTGTAAGGTTGATGGCTGTAGGCCACGTACAGCTAGCTACCTGATCATTCACAACAAAAGTGCTTGGGACATTGCTAAAATAAATGTTCACTGACAGCAGCATCTCCCCTCCCCGACTCAAGCCAGATTCATCTGAATTGTGGGGAAGGGGTGTGTAAAAGGTGGGTATGGGGTTGGGGGTAGGATTATATTAAAGCAGGCACAGATCTGGGGAGGTTAGGGGGTGAAAACCTCCCCCCAACCACTCCGACACCAAACAAAAAGGAAAAAAGGAAAAGATTGGGAAAATAATTAAAAAAAACTGCCCCAATACCACTGTATACTGTTCATCAGCATTTCTGCTTTGTCCACAAAAATGAGACATTAAAAAATCTCTGATTTCCCCCCCCCCTTGAAAATTTCTGGATCCGCCCCTGTGTATTAGAAAGGTTAAGGCAAATATTCTTCCTAGCACATTATGTGTACTCTTAATATAAGTTAAACGGTAAACTTAAAATGCCAAAGGGCTTATGTATAAACAACTTCTGATCTTCTAAAAAAAAAGAGTAAAGGTTCCTTATGAGTTTTGGCGATGCCCAATGGCAAACTTTACAACTTTTACCACACCACCAATATCCTGCTGATATAAACTTCCACCTGACTGACTACACACATGCGACAGCAGGAACTAAAAAGACGCACGCACCAGGCTAAGCAGACCGTGAGTTATCAGACTTTTAAGGCCCCGGGTCCAACTCGTTCCACTGCCATTTTTCCTTATTAATTTTTCTCCGACAAAGCATGCACGGCTGGTGATTGTGATCTCGTTTTAGTATTAAAGACTCAACGGGCAATGATTTCAACCTATTCTAGTACTGGTACACTCAGGGGTTGGGCCAATTTTCTGAGCTAATGATATTCTTGGGCTTTGGAGAAAGAAGAAGATGTGTTACGTTTAATATTTCCAGGGAACGTCAATCTCGTTTTGTTGATGAGCATATCAACACTTCACTTGGTGGAGGATTGAGGACTGTTGTGTAAAGTTCTTGTTCCGTTTTTGGGTGTATCCTCTTGCAAACCATGCTTACGCCAAAATATGCTGAACACATGCTTATGTTAAACACTAATCTATCGCTTAAACTTTGTGCTATTCAGTATTTTTTTATTTTAACTAGCTTGCTAACTTAGCTTTTCTTTAAATTGCCAGCAACTATAATTTTGATGACTGTTTCCATTTTTCACTGATAACAGGTAATCAACTGGACTCAAGTTCTCCAAATTCCCTACCACAGTCTCAGCCGCGGCCTGCCATTAATCCTGATCATTCCCCCGTGAGTGAACCCAAGTCATTGTCCATGATGCCATCTGATGAGTGACACAGGCAGGGGACAGACTGGCTTTTCCCAAATTTGCAACAACCTCCAGGCGATTAACATCCCCGGTGGCTTTTACGAAAGCACCGGTCAATCTTTGGCTTACAGGTGCTGCCTGGGCCAGACACTGAGCCGTGTGAAAACCTGTCACTTAAAACACCGACAGGTGATATCAACGTGTGTCGAAGTTAGTGACAGACTAGGTTCAAATTCACCTAGGGAGATGTCCAGCTGGACTGGAAAAAGTAACTTAAGATTCGGACAAACAAATGTTTGTGTGTCTCTCTGCTCACCAGTGATGTAGTGCCTTGATGCTGAGGCTGAACCTTGAGACTGCCGTAAAGGCTTGTTTGAGCACCTTGGCCTCAGCCTTAAGGCTTGGGGGAAAAAGCCTTGGCCTTGAGGGATCAATGCCTTGGCCTTGAGGATCAAAGCCTTACTTCCAACACTACTGCTCACTTAAGGTTTCAGCAGAATTTCTTGTTCAGGCATAATCTAAAGAACTTGCAAGTGCATTCAAGGATCAAGCCCTAACAACTTCTTTACTCACTGGAAAGTTAGGAATCCACAGAAAAAAAGTGGGAAGAGCACGGCCATGTACAGTTGAAGAAAACGGCTTCCGAAATGACCAAGTAATATAAATATGTCAATATTTACCAATGTTCTCATATCTCAAACTACTCTGAGCATCTGATATTGAAAATGCAGGCAGTGTGGCAAACTTCAATCATGGGGGTTGTTGATGAGAAGAGACTAGGTTGATGTGCGCATACTTGTGGCTCTGTCTGCAAGTTTAAATTTATTTGCCTTGACATTTTTAAAATAAGTTCTTCAGCGAATTTCCAGTTAGAGTCCAGACTTTGCAAGGGGCTAATTGTATTTGATCAAGCTGGAAATCGGCTAACAGAGTTTAATTTTGACTCTGCACAAGTTGTGTTGACAGTACACTATCTGTTTGCACTGGCATATGTAATCAGTGATTAATACCAGTGGTTGACTAGGACACAGCTGCTGTCTTTTTCACGATGCATCATTAGCGCTGACATTTTCGTTTTACTGCTCAAGCACGGAAAAGAAGACAGGCACTTCAGGTGGTAACTGTACGTGCCTTCTGTAATTTAGAAATCCTTTGGTTTACCTGATAATGACAAATCAAGTACCTGCAGACCTACATTTAACTTTCTGTAGGCACAGCAGTCTGGGCTGGTTGTTAGACTTGTATAGACCTTACCATAAAACTCAAAACTAAAAGAGGTCATGTGTTCAAAAATTTACCTTAATAAGCTACGCTTTCTGTAACACATAACTTTTGTAATACAGCAATATTGTAATGTTAACCAATACAGAATGCACGCATTTATCCAAACCTAATTTTGTTTTAAATCATGTCAAACAGTGACCACTACATGTATCTACTAACTTAGTCAGTCAAGAGTTCATTCATAGAGTTTGTATAAGCTATCAACAACTACAGCTCAAATTGGCCAATACAACTTCAGAACTGAGCCTAATTTCATTGGGCTGTAATTAAGAGAGCAGATGCTCGTGCTCAAACAAGTTCTCTGACTTAAGAACCATCACAGACACCAACAGCGATCTCGTTTACATGTCGTTTTTGCTGAGTAACTGCAAGTTTTGCCAACTACAAGAACAGGTTGATTTCGCGTGGTGCACACGACACATTTCATCAGTGCAAAGTTTAGCCAGGAAAATCACTAGTGGTCAACAAATACATGTAGTCTCCACTCCAACTTGCCCAAATCTTTCCTGTACTGAGCAGTTTCATGAAAATTCCCCCCCCCCCATCGATGGAACGTGTACCCAATTAAAATGATCCAACACACCCAAGCGTGGGAGAAGATAATGAATAATGGTCATCTTATTCACTGGGGCAAAGAATTTCACACCCCTGCAACCAATCGAAGCAAACACCTGCGGAGTGATTGAGGGGAAAATCAATCAGTGAAGATTCACTTACCTTTGAAGATAGTACTTCAACGACAAGGACTGTTCACACCTGCAGAGCAAAAAAAAAAAAAAAAGAGGAGACAGTCGATTAGCAGTATCTGTTACTTTGCTTGTTTTTCATGATTAACGGTGAGATTCATTTGTACAAGCCAGGTCCTCCCATTCAAACTGTAATACAGACTTTTCGTCGTTTCTATGGCCTTCGATATTTGGGTCTTGAATCGACTCCACTCTTGCTTCCAAATATCGGCATATATTTCCTGCACTATTATAGCTTATGGCTCAAGAGGTTGAAAATCCGTACAACTGTTGGCAAATAAATGATACTCTAGCAAAACCAACGCATGTAACGTGTATAAAGACAGTGCATATGCAGCGGGTGCTTCGGTGCTGCGGTGCCACTGTCACCACATGTACATGTATATTAGCACATGGACACCACAAACCACAGTACTCATGCCGCAGTAACATTACACACTTTATGGTAAAACCAACAATGATCAAATGGAAGACTTGTTGGTGTCCGAACCAAAACATCTGGTCGAACCACAAGACTGGCCACTCATAATCACCCAAAGCTAGGCAAAGGCAATTGCATTCCTTCAAAAGAATGTGGGGTACTAACAGAGACTTGGAGCGCTCATCCATGTTTTCCAATATTCCACAGCTTGCCAAAAACTTCCGAGCCAAATGCAATTTTGAAGATGTAGAGGTACCTGTACATGTATGCATGCCTATGAACATACACTGCCTATACATAAAATGAAACCTTCAGCTTTTCATGGGAATGTGCCTTGCACAAAAAAAAAGCCTTGGGCGCAGTTGTCAACATAAATACTACGTCAATGCCTGGGGTTCGTATTTTTCATTTTCAAAAAGTTATTCCTCTATGCAGCTTAAAATGACAGTCAACCTTTCCCAACAATGGACTTGTCCCCACTGCTTTTGATTTTTTTTACCCTCTAGGGCAAGACCATTACTAGTGCAGGAAATGAACTTCAGAAAGATTATTCTTAAGCCTGGGCCGAATGTCAAAAATGCTGAATGAACTTAAAAGTGATCCGCATCACTGATTTTCAAAGATTTCTTTGCCTGCCCAGACATATTGCAGAATTTAGTGCACAACAAAGAAAACTTTTAGGGTAACCGGTGAATGAGTAAAAAATGCATTTCAGTCTGGACGAGTATAAAACGTCAATGATTTCAGCTGGCAATAGAACTGTCAAATACAGACTGGGCTTTGTTTTTTTATTTTATTTATTTATGTTCTGGGGTTTTGGGGTCTTTCAACAAGATATTAAGCAGGGTTTGAAAAAAAATTGTAACCCCCCTCTCACATTTTATTTATGTTCTGGGGTTTTGGGGTCTTTCAACAAGATGCTAAGCAGGGCTTGAAAAAAGGACTGTAGCCCCCCTCTTGCAGTTTTCCTTCAAAGCTCGTACTGTCAACATGTGAAAACATGTGAAAACATGTTGACAATACTAGCTTTGAAGGAAAACTGCAGAACCAAAATGTATCAAAATAAAAATAATTCATCCAACAACAGGAATTGCATCTCACTGGGGAGAAAAAAAAACAGGCAAGGTACATGTGTTCTCCTTAGGATTCACATCATGCCTGGCTGGCTCCATCTAGGCTAATAAAAAAATAATTTTCAATTAAGCTTGACACAGAGGGGAACATACAGACGTCTCATTCTCACTGCTATATGTACATGTACATGTACATATTCACTTCGTGTGTACATGTACACTGGTATATGCGTCAGTGCACATAGGAGACCTCCACTTCTGCCAGACTTGCTGCAATAACATTTTGATTACAAAAAGAAGCAGAAAAATGCGGCATCATCTAAGAACGGCTCATCTGACCTACTGACCAAACTTAGTTGAGTACAGCGCACCTGTTTGATAAATCCATATTGTAAATCATTCATGAAGTGGCCAATACACAAGCCAAACCACAGGTAACGGAAAAAGGCCAGAAAATCTAAAAATGACACATAATTACATACACATGTGCCGCAGTGGGTTTCCTTGAGGTACACCACATCCTTTTGCCAATGAAATCAGTCACTTTTCTGTGGTGTACTTTTTACAAGCTCCACAACTTGAAATGCACCATTTTTTGCTTCTTTTTTTTTAACCAATGCTGTTAGATGCAGTTAATTTCTACCATACATGTACTTTGATACATATTGCACATTAAGCACTTCTGCACATTTCCTGTCATTTTCAGACAGTGAGTCCATTTCACACGCACTCATACACCATTCGTTATTCTGGCCTTTCACATTTTCATCACCTCTAATCTAATGTTTGGTCAATCATCCTTTCTTGAATCCTTCCACCTGAAAAGATCCACTTGAGGACTTTTGACTCGTTCAAAAGATACTCACCTGTGGTAATCAAGTCACTTGCAACACCACGAGGAACGACAAGTGCACGCAGCTATCACTTAAGCCTTATAACCCTCAACATGCGCTTACTCTACAAGAGAATCCTTTACTAAGATTTGGCATGGTTATAGACTTACATACTCATTCCTAGAACTTGGCAAGGCACACACTGGTATGAGGAATAACACTTTTTATCAATCATGTACTTGTGACTCCTATTTTGGAAAATAAATCTGTACTTAAAAGCCTGCAAGATTATGTAAAGCTACCCTCCCGATAAGAAGAAAAGGCTATAATTATGGTACAGGCCTCCACGCTACACCCACGGCGGAGAACGTGCTAAAAAATAACGTAAACATGTGCATGGTAGTGAGTATCTGGGAACCAGGATCAAGTGCAAAGTTTAATTTGGGGGGTGAGCTTTCTGCTTGTTGATACACCAGTCTGACAAGATCAGGGAGACACAGTGGTTGTACATATGATAAAGAATGACTGTTGATGACAGAGGCTACTGTCTATATGGACAGGTGCCTGGTCAAATGTTTGACATTGATAATCTTGTTGGGATTTGTTTTGCACTCAAATTCCAAAATTGTTACCAAATTCAGACAGTCAAATTCAGGCATTGCATTTGTATTTTTTTTTAACAAACTAAGGCATAGAATAAACACAAAATGCGAATAATGCTAAAATGAAAGTGTGGGAAGTTTTATAACCCCCTGCAGACACCCCTGTAAACATGTAAAAGAAATTTAATTTCAAATTGCCAAAATCAGAAAAAAAATTACACCTGTAAGGGCAGGCTGTATCTTGTGACAATGTTTAAAGTTCAGGCCAGGAATGCCCTGTCATTGTCAGGAGTGCTTTCTATTCAATTGAGGCAAACAAGCACTTGGCACAAGTTGGCAGAGATGGAGCAGTTAGGAGACAAAGCAAACAATTACAATTAAGCCAGGCTTTCTTTGCTGGTTTGATCAGGGTTCACATATCATAAGAACCTTCTGGCCATGTTTGCATTGCTTTCAAGACTTCACACTGTATTTTTTAAAAAGTTGGTCAGCCTGCATTTAACACAGTCATCGGTGAGACAGGAAAAACATCTTTTTACCATTTATTACATTCCAATAGATACAGCTGGGACATTTAATTATAGTCCGCTCCACCTGCAAGTGCCAGTGTGGATTCTTAGCCCTTAAATGTATTCTTGGAGTAATCACCGTCTTTACACTTCAATGAGGCACATAATGGGCACTTTGCAACTTAGAGAGCCTGCTGTATAAATACTTGTACCAGCCAGTCAATAGTTTACCATCAACATGACCATGATATAGCCTACACTGTGATACATCTCGGGTCCATATATCAATATACTGGTGAGTACACACATCATGACCTAACTAAAGGTCAGATATTGGGTTTTGGGTTTTGATCAAAACAAACTCTTTGTATATTTTGATTCCATTTTAGGGTTCAATTCCAAGACAGGAGACACAGGCCAGTGCTTTTTATCCTTCTCCCCCTAAGTGAAATGTCATTCTTCAATGGATGATTGGGGGGGTGGATGTAGACAATGCCGGAAACCAATTCTCACCACAAACATTTACGAAAATTCCTACAGTCAGAGGTTTCAATCACAAGGGAAATGTATTTTTAACACCAGAAAAACAGGTTGGCCAAAGGGCCTTGGGAATTATGCTACCAGTTGTCTCACATCAGGCAATGGATGTCACAACATTTTCTGCTTCCAAAGACCGCTTCTTTTTGTCCTAGCTACAGATGTACATGTACAACCACTTGTTTCTACAAAATCTGCACAGAGTTCTTCATAATATAGGAAAATTCAAATAAAGCTAAAGGGAAAAACTATATTTTGTTGTGAGGTCTGGATCTATATCAAGCATTCAATTCAACTACAAGTTAATTGCAATTCCAACTCCCTTCATATAAGTACCACAAGCAACTGAAAAAATAGGACGTGGGCACTCACCGAGGCTATTGAAGTGTTATCTGGTTCTGTATACAGACTACCCCTTATAAATTACTGAGAATGGACAGGGGGCATTTTTAAGTAATATTACATTCATCAAGATATGTGTACAATAACCATTCACTTGTATACTAAAAAAATATAGCTTTGTAAAATAAGCTTCGGTTCTTGCAGATAGCAAAAAAAAGGACAAAACTGTACGGTGGCACACAAGAAAAAACAAACGCACTTCACTTCACGCCAGCGTGCAAATTAGTCTGACAGTATACAAAATATTCTGCCATTGAGTATTTTCCAGCTTTTCACTGATGACATAAATTGGCAATTGACACTAGGTGAGAGGACTCGTCTCGCTAATTACTAGCAATACGTGTACAATATCAATAAGAAAAGGGTACTTACAGCGATAGGGTGCGTTCCAGTCGTCTCATGATGTCAAGTGACGCTGCTCCAAGTGACGACAAGAACGAGAATCTTATCTTTTGACAATCCAATGGGTCAGTGATGATAAACCTAATAGTGCTTCAGTTTAACCTAGAGACACTTGGATGCTCACTGAGTGTTCTGATGAGGCCGCTTCACGAGACAATGTTCCACTTGAAGATGATGGAACGGTGAACACTTCCATGCGTGGGCCCTGGCTAATACGGTACCGTCTGAGAG